GACCTTCACTGGGTGATGAAGGTGAGGATGATGGTGCAGAGGATGTGGAAGGTGCGGGGTCTGTATGAAGAAGCTCCCTCAGGTTTCCCTCGGAGTCATGCAGCAGGATCCTGGGTGTCAAAGGAGGATGTTCCTGTCTGATGACGTTCTGCTGCTGCGATCTCTCGCTGCTTTCTCTCAGTGTTTCTGCGTCTGAACTCAGAGGAGGTTCCAGCTGTAAGAGGAGGAAAGACAAAAGTTAAATGATCGTCAGGATGTTGAACACAGACTCCCAGTAAAGTATCTGAGCTGAAATGTTTAAGACCTGACGATTGGTTCCTGCTCTGAGTTCATCCTCCAGCTTCAGTCTGAGACGCTCTGACTCCTCCAGCTGAGCCTTTAGATCCTCCACCTTAAAACAAAACAGTCATACATGAGAGGTTTATCATAACTTTAAATAACAGGTATACATCTGTTATTTAAAGCTTCAATAATGATTCGTAGAGTTATTTAAAGAAAGAAATATAATGCTACTCTGCTGTAGCTGTTACTCTCTACTTGTTAAACCCAGGTTTAACTCTTACCATGGTCCTGAACTGTTCCAGCTGCTCCTCAGAGTCCCTGCTTTCTGAGAAAACAGCAACACTGTTCTCTGATCTGAAGAAACTCGTCTCCACCTTTCTCCAGCACTCCTCTACCTCCTCCTCCGTCTTCTGCTGGGACTCTGGACTCAAAGTGAAGCCCAGAACGCTCTCGTATCTCCTTCTCCTCTCCTCCCTACTCCTCCTCCTCTCCTCAGAGCTCCCAGCTTCCGTCCTCTGAGGGTCCGGTTCCTGACCCGGTTTACTCTGAGTGTCCTGACACGCTTTAGTCTCAGGGTTAGAGTCCTGAGACCTGAACCCGACCCAGTCAAAGGTTCTGTATCGTCCTTCTCTCCGTCTCTGCGTCACACAGACGTGTTTGATCTCATCTTTCTCTGCTGATGAGGAGTCATGAGTCAGGTCCGGTCTAAGGAGGTGCTCAGATGAGACCTGGAGTCCAGGTAAACTGTTCACAACATTAGATAGGCATGTTTAATGAGGACATTTCAACATAAAGAGCAGGGGGGTCAACAATAGATCATTCATGTACAAACAATACATTTCGTTAAGCTAATGGTCAAAGGTAAAGGAACGATTAGAGTAAGTTGTAGGCTCACTTGAACAACCACTTAGACTTTTGACTTAGACTTGTTGTTTATTTTAACTAGATTAAGATTTTAAATTCAACCTGAAGTCTTCCAAGTATTGAAATGTATTTTTACCTGGTGACGTCAGGTGTGTTAGCGGGATGAAGGTTCCTCATCAGAGCCTGGATCCAGCTCCTGCGCATCCCTGCTGTCATGGTCGACAGTGTGAAGACGCCATCAGGAGTCTGTGGGGGGAAAAAAAAACATTTCTCTTCTTGTTATCATGAAGCAGGTTTCTATTTCCTGTTTGGTCTCAGAGATGTTTTCTTACATGGATCTGGAAGCCGTAGTTTCTCTGAACATGAAATTCAGACACCTTAAAACACTTTGTAAGCTTGATTTCTCCTTCAAGATCTGAGGACTGAAAAAGAGACAGAAAAATATGATTCAACATTTGAGATTAAACCCAAACTAGGGCTGTCAACTTTAACTAGGTAATCACAATAGATTAAGGACTGAAATTAATGTGTTTTTTTTTTTTTTCATTGCGATTAATCGCATGCTATTTAGTCCCTTTAGGCGTCCCGTGGATAAGCCTCTGCGGTGTCTCCCTGTAGTCTCAGTGTAGAAAAAAGAACGGCAGTGCTGCATTGATTATGGTCCAGAATGGCCTGTAGTTGTTTTGACCAGAGAAGGAGGCGGTTTTAAGGCACTCCCGTTGTTTTGGACACCCCTCGGTTTGCCAGATAGGAGACCAGTTATCATTGAAAAACCAACAGGTTTTGCAGCGATGGAAGCGGGCAAGAAAACTGGTTCAGATATAACTGATTCTACCTGACCTCAAAAGCTGACAGCCCTAAACAAAACATGTGTTTTTATTCTTCAAAATGATTAATGTGAAAATACCTCCTCAGCTAAGGAGTCCCTGTAGAATCTCAGACTGTTCATCGAAAGAACAAACCAATATTTCTTTGGCTGGAGGAAACAGATGAAAAAATTGATGAGAATAATAAACATAAACAGCAGTCAATAATATTTATATAGTTAAAGTGTTTACCTGCTCATTTTCATCCAGTTTGGCCATCCAGCCTTTTTTAAAGTTTAATAAATCTGGCTGTGAATAAAACATAAAAAACATTAACAACAAAAATCAGACGTGTGTGTATATGTTATATACAGTTATATATTGTGTTTTTTATAGTTATATATTGTGTTTTTTTATATTTATATAAAAAGTTATATATTGTGTTTTTTTCTGAACAGTTTTTAACATAAAAAAAACAAGTATCAGTAATATTAGACACTTTTATGGTATGGTTGTTTGCAGCACAGAAAATTAGCAGAATACTTTTACTGAAGTTTAAACTTCAACTTGTGCGAGTGCACAATGCTTCACTGCATCCAAAAGTAAAACATTGTCCCTATGACCTCTAAAAACAAACATTTCCTGGCTTCTTACATGTGAAGACACATTTTTCCTGTGAATGATTTAAAGATAATAACTTATTAATGATCCTTGATAATGGAAGAGTTTGTAAATTGATGAAAGTGCCACTTTTTGAACTTTGATACTGTTGTTGTTTTCTGATAAATATGAACAAAAAGTAAAGCTCATGGTTTGTTTCTGGCCACACATCAGCTTTTCAGTTACACACCAAGAAGATAAAACCTCAGATGTGACTGTGGTCCCTTTGTGGACTCCAGAGGGTGCTGCTGGAGCTACATTACCTCACTTTTATCTACACTGTTTATTCGCTCACATTCATAGCAGCAGAGTGTGATGTGACAAGATGCTGCTTTAATTTAAACACACAAATAAAAGACTTGTACATTTTAGAAACTTAGTTTGTGCCTCACCGTCATGACGGTGTCTGTCGTCCTGCGATCCAGAGACCTGGTCCTCCTCTGAGGTGGGGGGGCACAGAGCTGGTTGATGTCTCCACACGACTGAAGCTTCTGTAAAAAACACATTTTAGTTTTATATGTGATGTGCATCAGTGATGTGTTGCAGGATCAGTTTGTCAGAGTTTAACAGTTTGGATTAGAGTTAGTAATGTTCTGGATGTTTGTCAGACGTCAGATGGAGGATCAGAGCTGCACAGCAGGTGGGGGGGGGGGCAGCAAGGGTAAATACTGCCTCTCACATCATCAGTAAAACAGATTAACAGACTGAGGTTGGCTCATGAATGAAATTTAAGGAGACACTACACATTCTCTGATTCGATAATATTTCAAATTGTTGCTAACATTCAAGCAGTCAATCTGATCAGGGCACAGACTTGCAGGCCAGGGTCTTGGTCATCACCTGACACAAGGTCTTTCTGTTACAGTAGCCTCTTCTATTCTACTTCTCATATACTTTGCCCATCCTGGGTGATCTGGTAAGGTACCAGACCACCTCTGTATGTGGTCTAAGCTGTCAGATCTCGACCTGAGCTGCTCCTCTGGAAGGAGAATTACTTTTAAAAGACAGAGGACGTAGGAGGAGGACAAAACAAGAGGTGAAAGGGAGATAGCAAAGGAGTATGAGAAAGAGGAAAAAGAGGAGGCGAGGGGGGGGGAAGAGAAGGGGGGGGGTGGATGAAGGAGGCTGTGTTGTGAATCTGAGGTCTGAATAAACTCTGCACAGTGTCTTTGTCTCCACCTGACACTGAAATAAACTCACAGACTCATAAAAACTTCCTGATAAGATAAAAGGATGAACATGATTAAAGTTATTTTCTTCTTTTTTTTAAAAATTAAATCCCTTTAGAACGAGTTGCTCTTTAATCTCAGATTATCAGATGCAGAGACACACATCTGTGTCAGACTGAGACTCTCATCAGCCTGAACACTGAGGCGTGTTTTACCCAGAGTCAACCTGAAATCCTTCAACCTCTATATTTACATACTTAGTTTTTACTGCTAATTCTACACATACATTTGCCATTTTTAACATATCACTGTAGCTACAAATCAATCTTCTTCATTGTTGTTGTTGCTGCTGCTCTGTTTGTCCCTATCCTTCTTCCTGCATCTCCCTCTATCCCACTTCCCAAGCCCAACACAGTTTCAGCAGATTGCTGTTCGTCTTGAGTCTGGTTTTATTCAAGATTTCTGCCTCTTAAAAGGCTGTTTATTCTTGACACTGCTTAGTTGCTTAGTGCTTCATGTGATTAACGTTAGGTCTTTGTAGATAATATGAAAAAGCATTTGTTATGAATTGCTGCTATACAAATCAATATTGATTGATATCTTTGTTATAAAAAAATCATAGATTGATTGAATCATAATTCATATGTGAATGTAGCCTGCTGCTCTGAGGTGTGATGCTGTCTGAACACGTCTGAGATGTCATCAGAGTTTAACTTCACTATGTAACTCTGCTCTTTCTTTTGACTGACACACACAAACAGGTGTTCACTCACTAAGGAGTGTACTACTGTATCGGTGTGTGTGTGTGTGTGTGTGCCTGTAGAGATCATAAACAGTCTTTAGCCTGCTATGTTAAGTTGTGTCTTGTTATCTCTGAGGAATCCTGGAAAAACTCTGTCAGTGGAATGTAACTGCAAGATACACACACACACACACACACACACACGCAAGAGGACTGAACACCTTCAGACATGAAACTCATATCTCACAAACAAACAAACAGCAGCTCAGAGAGTGTGTCAACTCCCCCTCCTTGCGTGTTTCATGATGTCAGATTTCCTGTTAACCTGTCGTCCCTCTCCCTCTTTCTTTCTGTAACACCTGGATGTGTGAGTCATGTTAAAACGAGTCCTGCTTAGTACAAACTGGGTGCTGACTGGTCCCAGTCGTGACTAACACAAATCAAGATTAATCAGTGTTAGGGTGTCTGTTTGTTTTTTTTTTATCTTGCATGTCAAGTGTCTTGTGATACTTTAAACTATTAAAGTCATTTAACAGATAGAGACCCACCTGTGAAGACATGTTCAAGATTCATATCAAACACCAGTTAACATTGTTTTGTGAGTATATAAGCAGGTTAAGGCTGCTCATATGCAGAAACTTGAACAAAGAAAGTCATTCCTTCTGTTTCTGGAGTGTCCCTGCGCTGCCTGGGTCTCAGCCTGAAACCCTTTAAAACCACTTATTTCCAACTGACCCTGCCCCCTTTACCTGTGATGAACCCTGCCAGCCATTAATGCAATCTATTACAATCTAGAGTCTCGCTGTTCTCATTTAAAAAATGTCGAACAAATAACAAAAAATCTGTGGTAAAGAATCCGGATCTTTGGTGCCAGTCACTAGAATGAACTGGTTTTTATCAGAGTATTGTTTAACCGCCGATGGAGCTCAGAGGACACAGTGACAAAAAAAAAAAAAACAGTCGATTCAATAATCTGAGTCATTTATAGACTGTTTTACAGGTAATCCCTGCAGAGGCCTGCAGACGTGAAATAAAACACTGCTGTTGATGAGAGACAATGAGCGTGTGTTGCTAAAGAGAACACACCTACCTACATGACGAGTAACAGAGGAACCCTCCATAACAGACCCACAACATGTCCAGAGGGAAAACATGATGACACTGTCCAATGACGTATATCTACAATATGTGTTTTTTATGTATGCCAAATAAGTCTGAGTCCTCAGCAGGCCTGCTGTCTGACTGCCAATGTAAACTTCTGTCATTTTCTTTTACCCTTAACATCTTGACTTTCATCATCATCATCATCATCATCATCAGTGAAAAAAAAGGGGATGAGGTGTGAAGCAGAGTTCATAGAGATCCACTTGATTTGTATGACTCCAGTCTTAAAAGTCCTTAAACAGGTGTTGAGGTTCAGTTAGCTTTACAAAGAATAAGCCAGTAGAAATGTCCTTCAGAGGGACACTTTTTTACTTTTTTATTATAGGGAAACATTTCCGAGCGTGGACATTAAGTTTTACTACAGGAAACGGGTTACAGCACTACTTCTACTTGTAGCACAGTCTGTTTTCACACATTTCTTTAGTAAAGAATGTGTGCACTTTACCTCAGTGTGTCGTTTATTTGTTGCTGTTGTCCTTACCTCTCGTTTGCTGGTGCGACTTTCTTTCCTGCTCTTCCTAGGAACAGCTGACCCTTCTTCCAGCTCGTCAAATCCCAGCAGCCTTTCTGAGAAGTCGCCATGACTGGAAAACACAAGCAGGGAGTGAAATATAAACAGTCTGAATGTTTATGTACCGGTCGTTATTAGAAGGTTTGGTGCAGAACATCTAACAGAAATGTGTCTCCTCCCTCTGATCAGACTGTCATTATCAGACATACACTGATTTCTGCTATTCATCAGAGTTTACATTTTTGTGTGTGTAGCGAACCAGTTTACTGCTGGAGGTCAAACTTGAAGCAGTTTCTGCTTCATGTAAAAGCAGCAGTCGGATGTGTAATGGAGGGGTTCAGTCTTTGATCTGCACTTCAGTGTGTGTGTGTGTGATGGTTTTGAAAGGGGGAGGTGTAGAGGATGCCTCTCTGCTAATTGCTTGCACATTTACCCCGTTTCCTTTCTTAAGACCTTTAAATGTCAGAAACTCCAGAAAGCATGCAGAAATGTACACTAAATATAATCACAATATTATGAAAGAAAAAACCTTTTGTCCTGGCTCTTGTTGTTTGTTTTGATGTTGTTCGACATGTCGTCCTTGACTACGCCCGTGTTTCTGCTGCTCAGCAGGTCCAAAGAACGCACATGATCACACAAAAGTCCAGATTCCCTGCATGCAGGACCCGGGCTGGGAGACCGTTCACCTGCTTATGAAGAGGAGCATAAAACGTTTCAGACACTGATCTAAAATCAACCGTCTGTTTGGAGGCATATAAAAGGGAGAATGTTCCGTTTCCAATCTGCACACCAAACCTCAGGACCGTGTTACTTTGTGTATGTAGTAAGTAACAGTAAACCCTAAAGAAAAACTATACTCATTTCAGTATTATTAGTTTGGACATCACCACAGGGGCGCGGAGGCTAAGGAGGATGATGAAGTAGAAGGGAGAGATAGTGGCTGTGCACAAGGTTAGAGGGGGATAAATGTCAGACTGGTTTTATTTGTTGGAAGCAGACTTAATCATCCTGTGAAATGGCAACTATGCACAGACACAAAAAAATAACGGATTCAGTGATGTTCCAGGACTTCAGTGACAGAAGGAACATCCATGCTTGTCCCGCAGAGTCTCTGTGTAAAACTTAAGAGGTACACTTGAGCGAGTGAACATCTGCAGGACATTAGGACAGAGGATAGGAAGTGTCTCTGATTTGCTGACTGACTCTGTTTCTGAGTGTGTGTGTGTGTGTGTGTGAGAGAGAGAGAGAGAGTGTCAGACCTGAGCTGGACTCTGCAGGACTCTCTAAGATCAGGAAACTTTGATCTTTGGCAGCCATCTTTGCTGGACTCGGCTCCTGATGTTTCGTAAGAAAAACAAGAAGATTATAATATGATTTATTTATCTAATATTGCCCATCCCTTTTCAGCATTTACAACCAGGGTAGTTTACGTTCCATAAATTATACATAACATTCACAAGACAGTCTGTATTGGCTGAAACATCTGATTTTGACTCTTCTTCTTTGGTACCTGGGAGGTTACAGGCTCCACTTTACGTTTCTTCTTCTGGTTCTGTTTGTTGATGCGCAGAAAGACAGCCAGCTGATCACTCCACCTAAAAAATGACATGGGGGGGGGGGGTTAACATCACTGATCCTGTTAATGATGCACTGACTCATGATGTACTGATTCATTGATCGATTGACTTATTGATGCTCTGACCCGTTAATGATCTCTTTTGTGTCTCCTCTGATGAAGACCTCCTGTTGCGGTGTAGTGATGCACAGAGCATTTCTCTGACCCGTCTTGGTTTCTGCATCACTGACTTCTGAGCACAGATTAAGGTTCATGGTCCCCTGAGGAAGGGTGCTCGGCTGCAGGGGAGACACAAAATCAAGTTATTCTGGAGAGTCAGTCACAGAGTTACACTGACAGAGGGTCAACTGAACAGTTTATGAGTGATAACACACTACACTGAGAGAGTGTGTGCTGTTAAAGAGGAATAGAGAGACAGTATGAGATTTAAAGGGATCACAGGGGAAGGGGAGGGGGGGTGCATTAGAGGGAAGGTTTAACCTAAATTATCCTCTGCAGTCTGCACACAACATGTGGCCTAAAGAGCCTGCTGATCCCAACATACAAATACAAGTACGCAGCAGGATTCACTGCAAATGGCAGCATCATGTATCTGCCTGTTAGTTTGATATCTCATCAGTTTCTGTGTGTCTCATGTAAATCTCATTTATGTATCATGTATGTTGTTCTTGCAGTTTCTTACCAGTTCATCCAGTGCGAAGCTCAAACTGCCATCTTCATACAGAATGAAGAAGCGTCGCTGCCATTTCTGACATCAGGACAAAAGGATAAAATCAAAGAAGCAGAACTTTATTTGACTCAATATGTCATAATAAAAACATAAAATGTATTAATATATTTGTATATTTCAGTTTGGCATCGTGTCATACCCTGGACCTCTGTACGGGGTTTTCAAAGTCTGTCCCCTCTGGAGCCAAACACAGCCAGCCTCCATAAACTGGCTTCACCTGAGGGGAAGCAGGGGGAGATCATGGTCACATGACTAAGGTACAGAGCTGAAACTATAAGTCAAATAAGGCAACATACAGTTTCTCTAAATACAGATTTCAATAAACCCATACCATGTGGCATCTTAAGGTTGCATGTTTTGAAACCAACCAGCGCTTCAAAAGAAAAAAACCACAGATTTTAATATAACACTGACGTGACAAAGGGAAAGGAATTTTTCTTATTTAAGAAAATTAAAAATATATATGAATTTCTGCTTCAAAATGAACTCATAATATTTCAATTCTTGCCATTAACTCATCAATTAATCAATTAAACAGTTAAGATCTTTGTCAGCTGTGTCTATTAGCTTTGGTGTATTTTTGATAAATATGGACTAAGTTTTATTTTCTATCTCTGACAACAGTATGATAGTAGCTCTGCTTTCCACAAAAAGACCCAAGGTGGACACTTAAAAAACTAGCAAAGTGAAGGAAATGCACAGAGAAAGTGGAAACAAAAAGTCACATGGACACAGAACGTCCATCAGTCAAAAGTTGCTGCACATTTTTGAAAACCTCATCTCTCTATGTTGACTGTGTTATAAAGAATCTGCTTCATGTTTGCAAGTTGAGTAACACTGTGCACAAATAACAGGGCACAGAGAACCAGGCAGCACACACAGTAATAACATAGTAATAACATATGAATGAAGAGAGGCATGTAGGAGCTGTCATGAACGCCTGATTACATCATCGTTACAGACCTGCAACAACAAGGTTTAAGACAGGAATTAGTGCTGCTGAGTACGAGTATAGACTCTTTTTCATACCTGATACCTGATAATAAAAAGTGTACACCTTTGTATTCTGCTAAAATGTTTATCTGATTACTAATAAGTTATCGAAATGAGATAAAGATTAATTAGACTTTTCTCATCTATCATACAGCATACATTTGAAATGCTTACTTTCACCAGAGGATTTCTGGACTGAAGGTTAGACATCATATTAACTGTTGGCGGCTCGAGCAGAACAGGGAGAGTTTATCTTTATTTAAAACCTCTCGTATAGACAACATGATCACCCATGTAAATACAGACTTGACTAATTCACTGTCAATTAGACGACACAGGGTCTCTGGGTAAAAAAATAAATAAAATGCATTTACAAAACTCTCACTGAGTTTTCAGATAGTCAGAAAGTAACTCTACGCTTCAGAAAGAGAAATGTATACTTTTACAGTATTTCTCTATACAAACTTTTAACTTACAGCAAATAATTCCTGATAACTGCAGACAGAGAAAAGTTAAGAAACTGAGGAGGAGGTTAAAACTAGTTTACTCTAATTTAGAAGAATAACCTGAATGGACCAATTGCCTGTAAACCTCACCCTTATATCTCAAATGACAGCAATGAATATACTCAAGTGGAAAACATAGTAACAAATTACAGATTAGCTTGACATATATCTAAAGAGAACATACAGAAATAAATTACTGACAGCTGGACAGTTTAGGGAAGTTAATAATATTTACAGACAGAAAAAAACATCCAAACTTGATAAACTCCCTAACTCAATAAACAAAGACTTAATGTTGGTCCAGTTTGCCAGTTTAGGATGCTGATAAATAATTTAATAATAATTAAAACAATAATAATAATTTAAACAGTTATCGAACTTAAATTTAAATGAATCTAAATTTGAATAAAGTAGTATTATGGTAGTAGGCTGACTTCATCTCACTTTAGGATTGTATTAAAAAACCAGAGAGTAAATAAAAATGATTTTTGTGCCCAAAAAAAAAAATCACCTCAACACTTTTATAAGTCGAAACATTACAGAAAGTAAAGAGTAAAATGTCTACATGATTTAAATGATAGGTTATATGTACCTGCTCCTTGTCGTGGTCGTTCAGCAGATGAAGCTCTCGGGGTTTGAAGCAGTTCTGACATTTACTTTTATTGAAAATGTTCGCTTGGAATTTGTTGCACGGACTCGTCGCCCTGTCAGCCGACATGTTTTCGCGGTGGTCTCGCTCCTCTATGCCGGGTAAAGATTCAGACACACACCGCTGTCTCCAATCAGACCTCCAGTGTTCAACGAGAAGGTTTGTCACTCAGGAACATCTGTCAAACACAGCGCGAGCTCCTGCTGACTGCTGTCGTCATGAACCAACGACTGTAAATATCAGGTCATGAACGCCTCATCTGACGTAGAACATCCGGTTACAATTCAAAATTAAAGCCGTCGACAAGGTTGACGTAAAAAGAAGCAAATCAATAAATACATTTAATTAAAAAATAACTTTTATTAAATCACATTTCACTACATTAGATACTGATAAATGTAGCTTGGCTTGGTTCCGTCCCAAGCTAAATGACGTAGCCTATTCAAGTGATGTTCAATTATGCAAAATCAGCAGTAGCAAAGATGTAGACATATGAATATAAAAAAAAAAGTGAATTCGTTTCCTTTCCTTAAACAATTTTAATAAGATTTTAAATTTTAACTCTGCACTGTAACTTTTAACTCTTTTAACTCTTTTTACTTAATTTATTTCAATTAATTTCATTTGAATTATTTTTATTTGAACATATGTTCAGATTTAATAATTCCAGTGATTTTTATTTATTTTTTTGTAATGTTCTATTTTAATTTTTCTTTTCTTTCCTCTGTCATGATGCTTTTGATGTCTTGTGTGAAGCACTTTGAATTGCCTTGTTGTTGAAATGTGCTATATAAATAAACTTGCCTTGCCTTTTTCAGTTTGAGAGTCTGACATAAATAGGCCTATTCCATTATTTTCTCAAGGAAACAGATTTACCAGATAAAGTTAAATGCTGATGTAGGCCTATACGTTTTTATTTTTTAGCTTAGAGATACATTTATTTTTTCTTCGTTTCAATGTATTTTTTAATTTTGACTGACCGTATATTTAAAACGGTCTTTGAGGATATATTTCAAAATGTATACACCAGACGGTAGTATTTCATTTTCCTTTAATATTTTATTAGAGTTTCCAAATGAATGATTTTTATTCGTAATGATGTAATTCAGTGGTTCTCAAACTATGGTAGGCGTACCACCGGTGGTACGCGCGCTCCCTGTGGTGGTACGTAAAGGAATCTCCACAATATATAAAAAAAAAAACGTTCAGCATAAATCGACAACTTTTGTTGTTGTTGTCGTACTCTTATCTTATCTGTCTTGTATCTATTGGGTTGTATTTATATCGAATGTGTTTCCCCCTCTAAATTAATCTAGTTTTGAAAAGTTCCATTCGATATTCAGTTATTTACAGGAGTTCAGTACTGAATCAACAGCAAGCAGCTGTAGGCCTACATTAACATATGGGATATGACGTCAGCCCAACGTCGGGATATGACGTCAGCCCAACGTCGGGATCTGACGTCAGCCCAGCGTCGGGATATGACGTCAGCCCAGCGTCGGGATATGACGTCAGCCCAACGTCCGGATCTGACGTCAGACCAACGTCGGGATATGACGTCAGCCCAGCGTCGGGATCTGACGTCAGCCCAGCGTCGGGATATGACGTCAGCCCAACGTCGGGATATGACGTCAGCCCAACGTCGGGATCTGACGTCAGCCCAGCGTCGGGATATGACGTCAGCCCAGCGTCGGGATATGACGTCAGCCCAACGTCCGGATCTGACGTCAGACCAACGTCGGGATATGACGTCAGCCCAGCGTCGGGATCTGACGTCAGCCCAGCGTCGGGATATGACGTCAGCCCAGTGTCGGGATCTGACGTCAGACCAACGTCGGGATCTGACGTCAGACCAACGTCGGGATATGACGTCAGCCCAACGTCGTGATCTGACGTCAGCCCAACGTCGGGATATGACGTCAGCCCAACGTAGTGATATGACGTCAGCCCAACGTCGGGATATGACGTCAGCCCAACGTCGGGATCTGACGTCAGACCAACGTCGGGATATGACGTCAGACCAACGTCGGGATATGACGTCAGCCCAACGTCGGGATATGACGTCAGCCCAACGTCGGGATATGACGTCAGCCCAACGTCGTGTTATGACGTCAGACCAACGTCGGGATATGACGTCAGCCCAACGTCGGGATATGACGTCAGACCAACGTCGGGATATGACGTCAGACCAACGTCGGGATATGACGTCAGCCCAACGTCGGGATATGACGTCAGCCCAACGTCGTGGGCTGACGTCAGACCAACGTCGTGATCTGACGTCAGACCAACGTCGGGATCTGACGTCAGACCAACGTCGGGACATGACGTCTGCCCAACGTCGGGACATGACGTCAGACCAACGTCGGGACATGACGTCAGACCAACGTCGGGACATGACGTCAGACCAACGTCCGGATATGACGTCAGACCAACGTCGGGATCTGACGTCAGACCAACGTCGGGATCTGACGTCAGCCCAACGTCGGGATCTGACGTCAGCCCAACGTCGGGACATGACGTCAGACCAACGTCGGGACATGACGTCAGACCAACGTCCGGACATGACGTCAGACCAACGTCGGGATCTGACGTCAGACCAACGTCGGGATCTGACGTCAGCCCAACGTCGGGATCTGACGTCAGCCCAACGTCGGGATATGGCGTCAGCCCAACGTCGGGATATGACGTCAGCCCAACGTCGTGATCTGACGTCAGCCCAACGTCGGGATATGACGTCAGCCCAACGTCGGGATCTGACGTCAGCCCAACGTCGGGATCTGACGTCAGCCCAACGTCGGGATCTGACGTCAGCCCAACGTCGGGATATGGCGTCAGCCCAACGTCGGGATATGGCGTCAGCCCAACGTCGGGATATGGCGTCAGCCCAACGTCGGGATCTGACGTCAGACCAACGTCGGGATATGACGTCAGCCCAACGTCGGGATATGGCGTCAGCCCAACGTCGGGATATGGCGTCAGCCCAACGTCGGGATCTGACGTCAGCCCAACGTCGGGATATGGCGTCAGCCCAACGTCGCGATATGGCGTCAGCCCAACGTCGGGATATGACGTCAGACCAACGTCGTGATCTGACGTCAGCCCAACGTCGGGATATGGCGTCAGCCCAACGTCGGGATATGGCGTCAGCCCAACGTCGGGATATGACGTCAGACCAACGTCGTGATCTGACGTCAGCCCAACGTCGGGATATGGCGTCAGCCCAACGTCGGGATATGGCGTCAGCCCAACGTCGGGATATGGCGTCAGCCAAACATCAGGATATGAATGAAAACATTCATTTTGAAGGATGTCACTTGGACATCAATAGTGAACGTTTAAAAGACGATCAAAAACTACGTCTCTTTAACATCCAGTATCGACGTCTACAGGACTGCCTTATATGGTTCGGATTGAACGTTTTTGTGACGTCTTTCTTGGACGTTAAAAAGACGTTTAAAAAAGACTTCATAAAAACTTTGATTCTGAACCAAGGGAAGGTGTCCTTTAATTAATATCACATGAAATATGTTGCACTTCACATTTTGTGTGTATTGACAATAATAATGGTTATGATGATGCAACTGCATGTTAGTAAAGACAAAACTAACACTTTAGCTAAAAACATTTTTAAAAGAATAAATTTCTCGATTTTCACTTTAAAAATACGATTATTCACAGCCTAACAGAATTTTAAAAAACTCACACAGACTGATAGTGGATGCAAGCTTTTATTTGAGGCGATGGCAGTGGCAAGGTTTGAACAATCTAAAAAATGTTTTTATTTTAGGCCATCCAGAAAAATGTTTAAATACAGAGGCTGTTTTTTTTTTCTCGTTTGATATGTCCATTGCTTAAATACAGTTTGTTTTATCTGAAACTGAACATATTGTAAGCTGTATGTGCTTTTAAAGCACAGAAACATCATTTCAGAATGAATTCATAATCTTGTTAAAATATTTATTTAAACAGATGCAATAATGTCACACAAAGTTTAAAGCTCTTAAATGTTATTCAGTATACTATCCATAAAATGTAAAGGTGTTTTTTACATGTGCAATGCTTTATTTTTATAACATGACCATAAGACAATTTAGGTTTTTTCATTCCGATATTGATGGTAAAATGATTTATTATGGCTGGTGACCATCACATAAACCCCACCCTTTAAGTACAGTTGCTATGTCTGTTGGGACAAACAGCAGATTATGTGAAATAAAATAAAACAGTGGCAGACTTACCATTTGCGATATTTAATAATGAATTATTTAATAGATATATGCTTTATTTTGTTAGACAGGTGGACAAGAGCTGGCCTCCCATTTCAGGTGTTGGCCATCTAAAAGTTTATTGGAAAGTAAGCTAATAAATACTTCATGAATATGTTGAAAAAGCTGTATCCAACACTGATTTTTCAAAAGAAAGGGGTCTACATCTATGATATTGGATAAAGATCATGCAAAAGCTAACATGTCGCAGGTTAAAAAGTTTGCATTTAAGTAAAAGGCATTCATGTTTTTTACAGTTTATCTAACTAGTCCTAGAAAAACTAGTATGATCAGAGAAATGTCAAACCAGAAAATTATTTTGTTCTTTGACATTAAAAAAAATTACATTTGTTTATTCTCAAAGTGACCTATGTTTTTGTAATCAATGTATTTCAATATTTAACGCTATTTCTAGAAATATTAGTTTTTCTTTAATCTTTAACTTCCCTGCTTTCATTAAAGACAACTTAACATCTAGCTAGCTAGCTGACTAACTAGCATTCAATTCATGATATGCTAGGTGATCCTAGGATAGCCACTTTGTGATGTAATTACAGACTGTATTAAAATAGACATAGCCATCAGATGTCATCCTTTTCTCAAATATAGTTTTGCAGCACTGCCATTATCATATTTGGACATATTTCTTTCTGTTTTGTAAAATGATGGCGATTCCCCGATGCTAGTTCTTGGTAGCTAAACTTCACCATTGCTGTTCAGAGGGAGGGGTTTACAATAGTCAACAGTCATAAAGTTTAGGATCTTATTTTAGGATAGAAAAAGGGCATTTTAACTGGATTAGCAGTATTGGTTGGAGCACTGTATGTGTTCATAAACATTAGTATCCTAACTTACATAGGGAAATATTTTTTGTAAAAAATAAATACATAAATAACCTTGTTTTTCTCTCAGAGAAATCAAAGTTTGTGCTCAGAAGAGAGAATCTAAACATTCGACTGTTTTTCTCACACAGTGCATTTACAGATAAACAGATATTCTGTGTTATTGTCAGGCAGTATTACTTCAGGTTTGAGATACATGTCACATTCATTCTACAACAAATGTCATTAATACTAAAGTTCAGCAATTCAGTACAAGTATACTGTGTGAGTATTAGGCTGAAGCTGATAGTTGGCTATTCAGAACTGAAGCACACTGCGGTCCAGTTTGTAAAGTGGATGTAGATCTTTTTAGCCACTCAGGACTCGTTTACAATAAGATCAGACTGGTCTGTGCTTTAAAACTCATGCCTGTGATACATGTCGGGGTCGTAGTATTTGGTGACCACGACTCTGTTGGCAAACTTTCGGCCGGTGAGAGCCTGCATGGCTTTCTGACAGTCTGCAGCGGAAACATACTCAACGAAGATCTGGAAAGAAGATCAGGTCAGACAAGTGTTTAAAGGTATGAAGCACAAAGAGGGCTGTAGGGCCACATTTTATTTTCTTTAAAAGTAAGTTAAGTTCTGATGTCCTCAGACACAAACCTGAGTTCTAACATGCCAGAACCAGACAGATAGAAAATTCTCACCTTCCCACAGCCAGGGACTTCCACACCGTCGACAGGTCGAGGAATCTCAATGGAGCGGACACTGCCATACTTGCAACACTCCTCTTTGATGTCTTCCAGGATCTCCTCATAGTCCTCATCCTCCACCAGCTCCTCAGGCATCACCATATTGAGGAGGCACAACACCTCCGTAGGCATGCCCGAGTTCTGCAGCATCTGCAGGCCAGGGACCTGTAGTGTCACTGGGGTCTCTATGATGGAGGTCTGCAGAGTCACACACATCAGCTTTAGTGGGATTTAATGCAGTAACTGTAGACAGACAGGACCAAGATCCAGACTCACAGCCTGTTCCTGATTCCAGATGTATTTGGCTTTTGTCTTTATTTAGTTGTGTTGTCTATATATGAGGTATGTGCTTGTGCATGTATTCCAAACTTAATGAAAAAATAATGTCATTTTTGCTTGTGGTTTTTTAAATATATTTTTTTGTTTTCTATATCGGACTTCTGTGAATTACCTGGATGTTGTTTTCAGAGGAAGTGACAGATGAAAAGCATTGGTACTCACAGGATTGGCGTTTTTAGCCCCCACACTCGCTCTTTGGACGATCAGCTTTTTGTCTCCTAGTTGCATCCCGTTGAGTCCAGCAACCGCCTACGAAAGTAATCACACAAACTCACAGTAACACATTAAAGCTAAACATCTCCAAACCTCACAGAACGCAGATATGCACCTGATCTGTGGCACAGACGTCAACGTATTCACAGAAGGCGTAGCCTTTGGACAGAGACGTAGCACTGTCCTTCACCAGATTGAACGCTTTGAGAGGCCCGAACGACATCAGGAGCTCCTTCACCTGCAGAGAGCAGTCGGACACAAACACCTTGGAGGGATAATAACAGTAAAAACAGTGAACAGGTTTTTAAACTACAGACTGATTCTAAATGTCACATCATTTATATAAATAACATGAAAGTGTGTCAATCAAACTGGATTTTAAGATGCTTCATTTTTATGTTGAATCATGGTATTAGGAAAAGAAGAGACAGCCGAGTAAAATCTAGTTTGAAGTTTCAAGAATTCTGCTGATGTGGACCTAAGCCATAGGACAATAACTTTTTAGACACAGATATACCACAGCCAAATAATTAGCAAAAGTAGAAATATTCTCTTCTGACAAACACAGCAATATAATAAAAAAAAAGAAAACTATCTCCATTTTGTTAACTGTATTTCACTTTTATCATAAAAGTAACTAAAGCATATGTTTCTTACCCTTATATTACAGCTGAATGAACCACCACCATCAACAACACAACAACCACACCCTGTTTTCTGAATGATCAAGCCTAAAGGACCCTTAACGCGCTCCAAAGCATAATGGGAAAAAAGAGCAGCCAGAGGAGGCAGCGGGCTGTAGGAGTGTGTCCCTGTTAGGACAGGATGTCTTACTTGCCTTGTGTTACATGTTGGCATGGCAGCAGTAGATGAGAACTACTGAACAAACTATGAGCGCAGACTTAACGATCTTACGGCCCCTAGCTGGGGACAAAGTGGGGGAACAAAAATGAAAGATCTGTGAGTATCAATGCAGCACCAGAGACTGCAAGAATTCAAAATAGAAATAAAAAAAATACGTCAGTGAATGATAAATATTTAATGAATATAATATACATCAGTGTTCAGGTGCTCTGTGAAGTTATAAATGTAACAGAATGACAGTTTTGATTTGATGAGAATATAAACAGACCTGCTGTCCTGACAGCAGAGACAGATGTGGATCTGATTGATAAAATAAATTAATTAGTTGATTGATTTCTCCTTTAAAGTCTGGCACTCAGTATTGATGGTGTTTATTAGTAAATATTCACTCTGACTTTTTGTATTTTTCAAGAAAAAATACACTCATACCTTTTGTTTATTAATTTATTTCCCTTTTTAAATCTACTTTGGGCGTGACAGTTTTTCTTTTTTTTTTACTCAGCCACTTTCTTTCTTTTTTTTTTACTCAGCCACTTTCCCTCTACCAGTCTGATTCTATTTGGTATCCCATAATGCCTTTCTACAATCACCAATAGAGACAAAAAAAATATTATCTAAGTACTATCAATCAGCCTGTGATGTGAATATTCTTGACTTTTCTTACCTTTCTTTCGTCAGAATGCTGAACATGAGAAAGGTATTTCCAGTAAGAGCCATAAAGAGTTCTTCAAATATTCATGTACGATTAACAAAATAAGATGATTCATGTTTTATTTGACTTTAATCAAAACAAGAGCTTTTTTCTTTAAAGTTGAATCACTTGTAGAAGTTGTCAACTGTGATTAAAAATACCTAAAAGACAGAAAGAAAACGTAACGAACATGAACTGATTTTATACTGTGTAGTGATCGTTGTTTTGTTTTTCTAGTTTATGTTTCTAATAAAGATTAAGTTCTCATTGAATTTATTTTTTGTCTTTTCTGCACACATTACTTATGTGTCTAAACAAAGAAATGTCAAAAACAGATTTTGTGCATGTTTAAAATGTGACAAACACCTGGGGTGGAAAGGGTAAAGGAAAGGGAGGACACATGAGATCACCTGTCGAATGAGTTTTCAGGTAAATACCTGGTCATCGTTCAGATAGTTGGGCAGACCTCCGATGAACAGTTTGTGAGGAGAATCCGGGACGACAGTGGAGACCACTCCTACACACAGTAACAAATATTTTCAGAGTATGTAGAACTGAAGGTGCAGAGCTGGGCACACGCCTGTTAATCCGTTAAATACCAACAGGATTAACTGATTAACCAACATTAAAGTTAACTCTTTGTCAATGGTTAACGGAGTTACATTTTTTAATTAACGGTGCCCACCAATTTTATCCTACTTCGCTCACACACGTGTCAGAAACTCACCTGGACGTGGAAGGCGGGCTGCTCTGAGATTCCAGGTAAAGGTCGGTAGTCGTGAGGCCGTCTGATCTTTTAGCGACTGACCCTGAAAAATGATTCCGTCGAAGGCCATCGCCTGCGTCGTCTCGTCTACAGAACGAAACTGAAGAGACCAAATTATCTGCTGCAGAGCGTCGACATAAAACAC